ACACCAAGAATTATTTTATTTGGATTATCAAGACATTTCAAGAAGTAATGGCTCACACATTAAATAGTAGAATTAGTATGTTTTGAATTTCAGAAGGATTTTCTTGAAAGCACAAATAGAAAAGTCAAGTGAATTCTGTTATTTGTACCTTGGTCGTTTCTTTTTTCAATCCCTATTTGTCTTGATGAATCTAAAAAGCCTATTTGGAGCATGAAAATGCAAAACAAATTACTGATTTGGTATAAGCATCTTCAAGACATAGTGTATGTATGTATGTGTGTATGTGTATGCATAGATAACATAATAAAATAGCCATGTACATGTGTATGCATGCATATGTAAACTTATACATATATGTGTATGCATTTTAAATAAAAACAAACAAAAAAGAATAAATTCAGCCCTAAATCATACAACAATGGAAAGACCAAATGACAGAATTTTCACCCAAAAAGGTGTCTTCTGTGCCAAGTATGGACATGGGTACAGCCTGTAATTCTGGGTAAGATGGGCAGAATATATATTCTTTGAGTTTAGGTTTAGGCTATCAACTTTATTCTTGTAGTTCACAAGATACATGTGGTTTAAAACAACAACAGCCAGAATCGTGGTTAATAATTATCAGAGATTTAACAGAATTTCACTTTGGGTCTGTTTCATATAAATATATTGCCTTTGTGTTATTTCATATCCATTTAAACTTTAACAGCTTTAGTTTGCACTCCTTTTCTCTATGGCAAATGGTCCCTGTGCTGTTACTGTGCGACAGCAGGAGCTTTGGTCAGACTTTGTTCCTCATTGTGAGCTGGGTCAGGATGTGGGAGATGGATTTATTGCCTTGTTTTTTTACAGTTGTACAATTCAGGGGAAACAAGGGTGCCCACATCCTTCCTATTAACCTGCAAATAAAACTCTGGGGTGTAAATAAAGAATGCATATGTCAAGAGGTGATAGACAATGGGAACAAAAGCACTGTCCTTGGAAAAACAACAATGAAAACCCCTGCATTTTCCAGATAATTGTGTGATGACTTTTGTTTAAATTGCTAATTGGACTCAATGGAACACCTAGCCTTCTTTTCAAAGGAACCATACATAAAACTTGGAAAACAAGAGAACTTTACCTCTATGGGAATTTCCAACACCATCCTAAATGTCCTATATAAATATTAAAATAAAGAGCAACTGAAATTAGACTTTTAAAAAATTTATTTAAAAGCAACTTTTTTAAAAAAATAATTATTGGTTTTAGAGAGGAAAGGAGATGGAGAGAGAGATAGAAACATCAGTGATGACAGAGAATCATTGATCAGCTGCCTCTGCATGCTCCATGCTGGGGATTGAGCTCACAACCTGGGCATGTGCCCTGACTGGGAATTGAACTGTGACCTCCTGGTTCATAGATTCACACTCAACCACTGAGCTATGCTGGATGGGCTAAAAGCAACTCTTGACTTACTATACTAGTTCAGCTGACTACTGTTCAATCAAATCAGAACCCCTTTGGTTTATTAATTATATGTTCTGTGGCAACGTATTTATCAAGATCTGTTTGATTATTTCTCTGCAAAGTGCACTCACATATTGTCTTTTTATTGAAATTACAGGTTCTTCAATTTAACAGAGATCAGGACAACAAATCTTATCCTGAAGGTGAAAAGAAAAGAAAAACGGTATATTTTATATTTTAATATCCATTTTCTGATAAGGGGGAGACCACTTTTAGCACCTGCATGATAATGGCTAATTTAATCAAACTTTACTGGGTAAATATTCTTAGAAACATACATTAAATTTTTTTTCATAATATAAAATGTCTACACTCTTTGGAAGGGTTATCTTTTTTAACCTTATCTCTTCTCCTCTTTTGCTTCCCTTTCAAAACTGTTCTACTTTCAAAATTATTTCTGCTTTTGCAAAATAACTGATGCCCTCAATCATTTTTATGTTTTTGCCCTGATAACATTAGAGAAAACATTTATCTATTTTATAATTAATTTCATCTTTTTGTCCATAATACACCAAATTATTTCATTTAGTTGTTGCTTGTTCTTATATATACAATTCTTGTTCATTGTTTTTATTTGACTAATCCCTTTTCTTTAAAGGACTTCACCTTGGGGAAGGTTGAAGAAATACACTCCGATTTCCAGACACTCATCTCTGAAATCAACAATCCCAGTAATGCCTATATACTTAAAACAGCCAATGGGATATATGCAGAAAAAACATACCCATTTCTCAATGTAAGTGCAAATATGTTATTTAAAGCTGATGAGAAAAAAAGAGCTATGTGAGATCAATCAATGAACTCTGTACATTTCTTTAGGGATCCCAGGGACAATTTTAAGGTGGTCAGCATTTCTGGTAAACAATCATTTAGACCAGTCAATAAGTGTCTACTTGTAAAGAAAACCAATAATAGGTCTCAAACCAGATCTAGTTATCAGATCTTTCTCCAAAGTAGTAATATATAAATGTGATATATATAATCTGTGTGTCAGAATTTGTTTCATGGGAAATGGAATAAAATATGTAGAGTATGGACGTAGGGTAAATCTGAAGGAGCAGAGGGCGATGTTGGCCACAGGAATATGCCTGGAAAGTGTGTAATGGAGAGCAAAGCTGACATTGGAATCAAACAAGTAATTTTCCATCATGACTTTAGAGATTTTGGAAGATTCTTACCATGGGATAATATCAACTTTGCCCCTTCTTGAGTGCTTGGAATCCCATGGAGCAGGCCATGACTTCATCCTTAGTTCAGACTCAAAGGCTTTTCAGAGGGATCTACCCAGGAGCCAGGACAAGCACTTACTTATCTCATATTTGTCCACTATATCTTCGGCACATTAGAAAGGAGCAGGAGGATAGAGGGGTCCAGTGGGCAAAGAGGAAGGACATTGGGCAAGGTGGAGGGATAGCCATAGAGTCAATAAACCTATCTTGAGATTTCAAGCTGTAATGTCAGAGCTGTGGGTGGCAGACCTTCCTTCTATACCTGAAGTTTTGCAAGGCTAGTCAGTGCCCAGCAAAATTTAAAGAAGAGGAGTGTAGTCTTTGACCAATACAGGAGTGGGAAAGAAAGAAGGGAGCAGTGTGAGTGATAACCTAAATAGACTTGATTTCTCAGTTTTGGGAAAACCCTACAAAAGAAAATTTTACCTGTATCTTTCAGAAATATTTAGAAGACATGAAAGCATACTTTGGTGCAGAGCCACAGCCTGTGAACTTTTTGGGAGCTTCTGACCAAGTCAGAAAGGAGATCAACTCTTGGGTTGAAAGCCAGACTGAAGGTAAGCTGTCACCAAAGTGCCTGTCTGCGTGCTCTCTCCAAGCATTGGTTTAAAAAAAAAATTTTTTTTTTTTTTATTGATTTCAGATCTTAAGGGAGAGAGAGAAATAGATAGAAACACCTCACACTGGGGATGGAGCCTACAACCTAGGCATGTGCCCTTGAGTGGAATCAAAATGAGGACCATTCAGTCCAGGGGCTCTATCCACTGAGCCAAATGGGCTAGGGCCAAGCATTGTTTATTGCTACACTGTCCACAATGTTATTGAAATTAACTCTGCCTCCCCTGAAGGATCCCATGCATAATAGCTCTAGTTTTAGCTTTAAGTAAATAACATATAAAAGGCCCACTCATAGTTGTTACTCAGAATATTAATGTTCATTGGAGTGAATTGAGGAAATTGGCAGCCCTAAGTTCTCAGTTTCTTTTTCATGTAACTAGTGACTCAAAAGCCATGGTGAGGCAAGAGTAACCATTATATTAAACTCATTCCTGATTTGAAGTCATCCAAAAGTTGATTCTTTTAGAATTAGAATTAGCTAGCATTTACTGGGTACTTGCACCATTCCAGTTTATAACAGGACCAAATAGGACTGTAGAAGGAAAAGCTCTTTGTAATACACAACTCAAATTCAACATGGTAGAGGGGGAAGAATGGTAAAGGGTAGAAGAATAGAAAGAGGCTGAACTAGATCTCTGGTCTTAAATTTTTAGCCCAGTGGCTGGTATATTGTCTGGAAGACGGTTGGGAACCCTACAGATAGGGAGGCTAGGAGCAAATAATAATCTGCTACCTTTTCACCCAGCAAAGCCTTTCAGACCTAAGAGGAGACTTGTCATCAGATGCTACATGGCTTGGTCCTTGTCATGCTTCCCAGTGTAGATTAACACACTCCAGGGACATGATAACTGTCTAGATGACAAAGCTGTCCTGGAAATCTTCCTGTAATGACAAATGTGCCATAATTCTGCATTGCCTAATTTGATATGGTCACATGTTCTATCCACAGGTGATCAGAGATGATTTGAAATGTGGCTAACTCAACAGAGGAACTGAATTGTTTAACTTTAATTCATTTTAATGAATTTAATTTAAATTTAAGTAGACTTTTGTGTCTGGCGGTTACCATATTCAACAACACAGATGCTATGTTTTAGAAGAACTGAATAAATACTTTAAATTATGGAGTAAAGAGTAAACTTCAGATTATGGTCACTATATGGTCAAAATACAGAATGGGCATACTTTGAAAAACCTTCTGTTGTCATTGCACTCATCAAGTGAGAGGTCTCCAAAATGATGCCCACCCTGGATGTGGTCAGAATCTTTTAAGTCCTTATTTCTCTAATTTTTTGTCTACATTCCTCCCGCTGGCTCTGTGGACTCTATTTCTTAGAAGTGGAACCTTCCAATGAGGAAGAAAATTGAACTTTTTCTGTATGTTATTTTACACATTGGACACAAATGGGGGCTATTCGACGTCAATTTAAGTAAAGAATTGATCAGCTGTTTAGGAACTTTGAATTTGTCTCATTCTTATGGAGACAATGCTAGGAACTCTTAGGCATGTCTAAGTTCTAGCTGAACCACTTGAAAGAAGCTTCTTTCCTTAGCCCTTCAAATAGGTCTTTTTCCAAATAGCCGCATGGATTATTGGGACACAGGGCTTTCAGAGTCAAATTCTCAAAGATAATACCAGTCATTTGTTGGTACAATTTTTTTTTCTAATTTGTTTTCTTTATAGTCTATAAGCTCCTAAAATGTGAGGGATTGGGGAAAGTTATTGAGTACATATTTGTGATCTCAAAATCTATCACACACTTGGCAAATTGGACCCTCTAGTGTCATATTAATATGTGCCCAGCAGGACTTACCTGAATATCGGTGAAGCCAATGTCCTTCCCATTAGCTAGAGCTACCAAGGATGCGTGCAATGAGTAAGCCAGTAGATGGCACTTTAACTCTGAAGAGGATAGCACAACATTTCTTAGAAGAGTCAGTTTGCTCTGCATTGCTTTGAAGCTGCCTGTAAGTACATTTTGTACGCCCTTTGTCAAATAAACTAACAACATGGCTGTGGGTTCAAGAGGCTATGCTCCTTGAACACCTATGAACCCTGAGAACAGGGCAACGAAACTTAAGTCAACTACCTTGAGATCAACCTGTGTAAACCACAGTCCTCGGTATGCTATCTGTTTGCATCTACCCCTCTACAAATGAAAGAATAATTTATTTGGTATGACCCAGAGATTAAAAAAAAAAACTTTCTGTGCAAAAAACCATATTCAAAAAATGACACATGACTCCCAGGTTAAGTCATCATTTTTTTTTTCCAAATTAAGTTTAATATACTGTCTTTAATCAGATGGAAAAACAATATGAAAGTTTCAGAAAATTTTTACATCAGCATTGAAAAACAAATTTATATTTAATTTTTAAAATCTAAAAGTCTGTTTTGTGGGGGAGGTGTGTTTGTTTTATTTTGTTTTGAGTAGACATGTTCAAGCTACACCTCGGACCTAGTGGAATCTCTAAAAGTGCTGCCCTTAGAACATTTTAATAAAGCTGCACAGTGTTTGGGAGATGCCCCTGTGAAAACTGTAGCGATTGAGGCGTATGTTGGAGCCCATAGCAAAGGCTCACAGGAGCCAGTTCGCATCTCTTCAGGGATTAGGACTTGACATATCTTTTTTGGAGGATACAAACCCACAATGGTAGTGTTCTAAAAAAAAATCCTTAACCTAAATATTATCTTAGAGGAAACATCAGACAAATTTGAACTGAGAATTAATGGACATTCTTTTTTTTAAAAATATTTTTATTGATTTTAGAGAGGAAAAGAAAGATAGAAACATCAATGATGAGAGGGAATCATTGATTGGTTGCCTCCTGCATGCCCTCTACTGGAGACTGAACTCACAACCCAGGCATGTGCCCTTGACTGGAATTGAACCTGGTACCCTTGAATCTTCAAGGTAGAGACTCTATACACTGAGCCAAACCGGCTAGGGCTGACGGTCATTCTTACACAACTTTTTAAAAACTATCAAGGTCATGGACGACAAGCATTGACTGAGAAACTCTCCCAGATTAAAGAGAACTAACAACTAAGAGGAAATGACAATTAAACATAGCTTGAGATCTTGGATCGATTTCTAGTCCAGAAAAATAAGTTATTGGAACAACTGATAAAATTTAAATAAGATCTGTTCATAGTATTCTACTAAAGCTAACTTCCTGGTCTGGCCAGTGTGGTTCAGTGGTTGAGCATTAACCTATGAACCAGGAAGCTTCAGTTTGATTCTCGGTTAGGGCACATGCCTGGGTTGAGGACTCAATCCCTGGGAAGGGGCATGCAGGAGGCAGCTGACCTATAATTCTTTCTCATCATTGATGTTTCTATCTCTCTCTCTCACCCTTCCTCTCTGAAATCAATAAAAAATATTTTTAAAAAGATGAATTCCTGGTTTGTAATATAATATTTCATAATCATCATTTTTGTAAGTGTGATATTTCATCAAGATTTAACTATACCATTTGAAATCTGTCCTTTTTCTCTTGTAGGAAAAATCCCAAATCTCCTACCTGATGATGCTGTAGATTCTGCAACCAGAATGGTCCTGGTGAATGCCCTTTACTTTAAAGGAACCTGGGAACATCAATTCTTAGTCCAAGACACCACAGAAAAGCCTTTCAGAATAAACAAGGTAGGAATCATTTAATAATCAGTATGGATTTTCACGTGTTATTGTAAAGAAAATCCTTTTTTAAATTCACTCCTTTTTTTAAATATATGTTCTTATAAAATATGGCTCTTACTAGGGCACAGATGGCTAAAGTGAGCATTCCCAGTTTCATCCCACCTTGAAAGTTTTTTTTAATCTAAAAATAGACTATTCACATATTTTATCACCTATGATGCTACCCAGTTGAAGACATATTTACAGAAAGCAAAGTCTGAATAACTTTATTTAGTATTTAACAGGGGATCACCAAATTGGCCCATGCACCATACTCCTGGAGACCAATGATGATAAAGAATGAAGGATTTGGTGAAACACCTCCTCAGTGACTTTGCTCCTTATTTTCTATAGACTACAAGCAAACCAGTGCAAATGATGTCGATGAAAAAAAAGCTTCCCGTTTTTCACATAGAAAAGCCACAAGCAATCGGCCTTCAACTTTACTATGAGAGTCGGGCCCTCAGCCTGTTCATACTGCTGCCAGAAGACATCAGTGGGCTGGATCAGGTAAGACATCATCTGTCTGACACGAGGATGATTCTGGTGTTCACCTCCATGTAACATGGCCTCTCTGTCTCCTAAATTGTAGAGGAAGGCAACCAATACCATCTCAGCTTTACAAAAATCTGTAGGGATGATATGGCTATTTCTTAGAAAGTGTCAGTAATTGACAGATACCTGTAGCCTGGGGTAGTCCCACAAACAGCAACATGAACAACAAAGATATTCTTTGTCAGTCAAAAAGTTGTGTGGATTGATCATTCAGGTCTTCTCCCTTTGGCAGGACCTACCTAATGGGAAATTATTATTATTATTATTAGTTAATCCTCACCCGAGAGTATTTTCCCATTGATATTTTTGAGAGAGTGGAAACCTCCCTATCTTACCTTGTAAGAAGAGTCACATTCTTACAAGATAAGCCTTTCTAAGAGTGCAGGTTCCTAAGGGAGGGACTGAAGAGGGAAACATTGATGTAGGAGAGACACATCCATTTGTTGCCTCCTGAATGTGTTCTTAGTAGGCCTGGGGATTGAGCCTGCAACTGAGGTTACTAGCCCTTGACCAGAATCATACCCGAGACCCTTCAGTCCATGGTCCGAGGTTCTATCCACTGAGAAAAACTGGCTAGGGTAGCAGATTAATTTTTTAATCACCTGCATTAAAGTAGCATTAGATGTACATTTTTAAACAGTAAATTTACTTCCAAAAATTGTAAACACATTTTTATCCTGTAAACAGTCTTCAGAAGAAATAGTCTATATAAATATGATCTTCAAGTATTAATTATTTATCAGCCAAATTTCTATTAAACGTACATAATTTTGATCAGATGACATACCTGAGCAATTTGCATGTCTAAATTGAATATTGATTTATCTGCAGCAAGTGGCAAGTCTTTCTTTGTACAGTGCCTAATTCTTTATGTGTGCTAGATTTTTTTTATACTTAGACCTTTTCAGGATCCTACTAGCATGTAGAGAAGATTTTTTCACTGTATCATAAAATTTTTGAAACTGGAGAGGATGGTAAAAATAAGACCGCATGTGGACACTAAACCGTGAGAATCACATTCTTACAAGATAACCTTTCTTCCTAAGGGTGCAGTCTAAAACTTAAGATATTGTCACATTATTAATGTACTAGAGACCAGGTGCATGAAATGCATTCACTGGGGGTGTCCCTCCAGCCTGCACCCTCTTCTATCTGGGACATTCCTCTCATAGTATGGGATTGCTGGCCCCAAACTTCTTGCCTGCCTGCCTGCCTAATTGACACTAACCACTTCTGCATGCCAGCTGGCTCCGAACTTCTTGCTTGCCTGCCTAATTGACATTAATCACTCCCCTGCCAGCCTGATTAACACCTTATTGCTCTCCTGGTGGCCCGATTGCCCCCAACTGCCCTTCCCTGCTGGTCTGATCTTGCCCCCAACTGCCCTCCTTTGCTGGCCAATTTGGTTCTGATTGGTCAGTTTCTATGCCAGTCTCTGGGTCTATCAATGGGGCCTGGTTAGAAAGGCAGGGCTGATCAGCAGCCCCATTGGAGGCCTGATGAGAAATGGAGGTTCAGCTGCTGGCCAGGCCTACAAAGAAAGAGAGGGCAAGTGCTGATCAACAGATGCCACAGAGGCTACAGATCAGACCCTGCTTCTCTCTTCAGGCCTCTCTCCGGGCCTGAGTCACAACTCCATCTGCAGTCAGTGCTGGGTCACTGCACCTGGAGCTGCAGCAGTCAGTGGTGGGTCACTAGAGCAACTCAGCACGGACTGCAGGACTGACTTCCTGTGAAGCCTCCGGTTGTTGTGGATGTGATGGATCCAGGGTTTTTATATATTAGGATGTCATTTACAAGTATGTCATTGACAGCAAAACTTGGGTCTAGAAAATTCACAAAGTAGCAAAAGAACATACTTTGAAACAAACAGGTTATAAAAAAAACTCAAAAACTTTTTCTCCACATACACAAATGTATATATTCATACATATATATTTATTATTTTAAAATTTATAACATAAAGAGGAGAAAAAGCACCCTCAAAATCACTATAAAAACAGACATTACTCAGGGATAGATGGTGATGGAAGGAGACTTGACATGCGGTGGTGAACACACAATACAATAAACAGATGATGTATTATAGAATTGTATAGTTGAAACCTATGTAAGTTTATTAACCAATGTTTCCAATAAATTTTTAAAAGTCATTTCTCTTAAGATTTGGGGATTTCCCTATTTTTTCCCCCCTTTTTCCTTTCTTTCTTTGCATTGTTTATGGTTACTAAATTCATACTGTTGTGATTATAGACATCTTATTCTATCTAGAATATTATGTTAAAAAAATTGTCTCCAATGTTAATAAAATGAATGGATTTTTTGCCCTGACATACAACTTGTCCTATAGTATATGCTTTTGTGTAGACAACATGTAAATTACATCTAATTTTATGTACCTGAGTGTATTTTTCATCTTGTGCATATTATCATAGAAGTATTTTCATTTTGAATCAAGATAGAATTCTCTTACATCCTGAGACCATCAATCTGCAGAACAAAGATTCTGTTGGTCAACCATGTGAAGGATGTCATGACCCAAAGAATTTCCATACATATGTGTTTTGTTACCCTGGGTAATGGGAGTAATTGTAATCCATCAATTATATAGAGACCTCACTCAACCCATATTTCCCACTCCACTTTGGAACGACTGACTTTTTCTCCCTTATTCCACACCTGCAGCTGGAAAAGGCCGTCACCTATGAAAAGCTGAGTGAGTGGACCAGTGCAGACATGATGGAGATGTATGATGTGAAGCTGCACCTTCCCAAGTTCAAGCTGGAAGAGTCTTATGATCTCAAGTCAGCCCTAAGCAGCATGGGGATGAGCGATGCCTTCAGCCAGAGCAGGGCTGATTTCTCTGGAATGTCCCCAGGGAAAAACCTATTTCTGTCCAATGTTTTCCACAAATCCTTTGTGGAAATAAATGAAGAAGGTACTGAGGCTGCAGCTGGTAGTGGGAGTGAGGTGGGTTTTCGAATCAGACTCCCATCCATTGAATTCAGTGCAGACCACCCATTCCTCTTCTTCATCAGGCACAACAAAACCGATAGTATTCTCTTTTATGGGAGATTCTGCTCCCCCTAAGCCTGCTTCCTTTTCATCAAACAAGACGATGTGATAAATACATCATAAGATGGAAAAACAATTATACTAAAAACTAGTTTGCAGTCTAGATATTTTTCACATTTGAATATTAGCAAATAAATCTTGAAATAATGCATGCTAGTGATACTGTCATATTTTTATGGCTAGAAAGAATGGCAAATTTTATTTCTTCCACTAGACATTTTTTAAAATGTGGCCTTTACTTACATTTACAAACTACTGTTACTCAACTAAATGCCTTATAATTCTTGAGCTGTTTGGTCATGGTCTTATCACTTATGTTTCACATGGATAATTTAATGAAGAAAAATCTTTATAAAGACAATATATTGATAAACAAGAATGTTTTGACAAGTATAATTTTGATAGTTCATAAATTACCCCTGGAAAATTAAATCTGCCTTTTCTGTTATCTATTTAAAAATACAATGTTGACATTAATGGCAAAGCTAGTGAAAGCCAAATGAAATTTGGAATTTACTTAACAGCAATGCACCAATGTTGGCTTCTTAGTTTTCACAGATGTGTCTTGGTCATATTAGATAATAGTGTTACTGGAAAAGGGGCAAGCTCTGAGCAGGATCGGCCTGTAATGCATGGGTTCTTGACTTTGTGCAAGAAAGATTTCACAGTACCAGACTAAGTAATTTTTAGGATATGTTTATTAAAGCTGGGAATATGAAACAAAAGGAGGTCTCAGGGGAGAAGTAGCAACAGGATAGAGCCTAGGTGAGTGATTCGGCTCTATAGAAACTGCTTATTGGTAGTCTCACCAGATGTTATTCTAATTTTAGAGATTAACTGTATCACTCCTGATTGCTTGTTTAACTTTATTTTACAATTGGAAGAGTGGATCAGACCTGAACATTATTATATAAATTAGTACAAGAAAATGTATTAAACAAATGACTATGTCTTAGCTACAAAGATGGAAAATTTTAATATTTATGATATTTTATCATCTCTTTATGAAACATTTCACAGTAAGTCACAATGAAAGAAATCACCTGTGGGGATTTTGCTGCCTGGTATTTTGCTTCCATCGGCCAGCTGTAGATTGCCCACACCTTCCTGTAATGGCAGACAGCTTCTGTGAGCTAGTTCTGACCTCGGGCAAATTTCTTTGCCACTGGCAGACAGCACATTTCTGTGGCAGCCATACCTTCAAAGAAGTCTGAATCTCAGCCCCGGGGCATTAAGCTGCCTGTAGGTAATGGTACTTCTTGTCTGTGAATGAGAAATCAACTATTTTTAAAAAAAATGTGATCATTTTAAGAACATCTATTTGTGTATTTTCCCATCACTAGATGATTTTATTACTAAAATAATATGAAAACTCTCATATATTTGAATTTAAACTTGGAAACACAATTCCAAAACTTCATAAAAATCCTCCAAACAGAAAACATTTGGTGGGCTTCAAACTGTAGAAATGTTTAAAACACAAGGTTTAGAAAAATTATCTTGCAGAAAGAACTGATTTTCAAGAGGATGAACGTTTTTTTACCAGTGAGATTTCAACTAGAAATATTTGCACAATTAGTATATGGATTGAAAAAAAAATAAAGTGTCAAGACTTAGTAAGTAGAACCAAAGATACTTTTATTCCATTTAAATCAACCCATTTCCCCAGCAGCCTTTCTTCCTGACAGCCATCAAGGATGCAAGTTTAGAAATAAACTGAACTTAAAACCAGGCCTTCAAATTAACTCTATTTCAAAGCCTTAAACTAAAAACAAACAAACAAACATTTAATTACACTGATCTCATTAAATTTTTAAATTTTTGTAAGCAGAAAAAAAGTGTATTTCTAATAAATTTTTTAATTTCTTATTCGTTTTAATTTCTGTTGATGTGTTTTATGGTGTCCGTCATATATTAATAGTTAACATATTAGTACACATAAGTTCACATAGGTACTGGGGATGTATGCTCAACAATTGTTTTGATGGGGTACCCTATGCAGTTTGGAAACAAGTGGCTTTAGGAACCATTTTCCACGTCTGGGTGTTGCTTTTGGTTAATTTTCAAAAGCAAGTTTCAGTGTCCAAACTTTCCTTGCATGCACACACCGCGCAGGAATTCTGCGCATACTAACACAGGAAAAGGAACAATCCCCCACTGGGTGAAGGACAGGACACCAGGCTCCCCGCCATCCCTCTGCACTGGCGCCTGGGCGGAGGGTGAGCTCCGAGCTCAGGCTCCTCCCGGGCTCCAGCCTGAGGATGCGGAGTCACAGGGCTCAGCCGGTGTACGCGGACTACAGTGAGTCATCGCCGGAAGCAAATCAGAGCGAACGGGAAGCATCCTGCAAGTTGGATTAGTAGCAGCCGAAGCAGGAGCAGCAGCCGCGGCAGGAACTTCCCAGGTACCGGGGCTGGGAGGTGCTGGGGCCCTCAGGTTCCCACGAGGACCCCTCTGGCCTGGAGCTTGGGCGCGGGGCAGGGAGGAAGAAGGGAGGGGGTGGGGGGAGAAAGAAGGGAGGGAGGCAGGCAGATGGCAGACGCTAGAGGAGGAAGAGGTGGAGAAGATTAGGGGGGAGGTGGCGAGGGGTAACCGGCAGGATTGTTAATGGACCGGGGTCGCCGTGGTCGCCGCCGCGCCCCTGGCTCCGCCGCGCAGTCTGGTGCGTTACCGCGCGGTCGTGTCCGCCTGGGCCGGGGGCGTGGGATCCAAGCGCTCCAGCGGTGCCTGGGTCAGGGGGGTCCCCGGGTGGGAGGGACCCTGTGTTGCTCTTTGCCGGTGGAGGAGTAGCAGGTGACCCAGCAGGGTGGGCGGGGACATTGGGAGGTGAGTGGGAGGAGCCCCAGGGCGCAGCCGGAAAGCTGGGTGCTAATTGCACCCTGGCCTGGATTTTCTGTGCCTCCTGGGGCAAGTTCCGGGCGAGCCACCTCCCTCCCGCGCCAATGCCTGTCCCGTGACTGTCCCTTTGCGATCCAGCTTGTTTGTTTGTCTCTCTCCTTCCCCTTTCCCCCCTCCCTCCCCCTCTGATTCCTTCCTCCCTCCTTCCTTTCTTTTTCTATTTTTTCTTCCATTCTTTGTCCATTTTTCCTTTCGTTCATCTGTTCTTCATGGGCTTCGCTCTCTCAGCTTGAGAAGGTGCGCCCTCACCTGTTTCTTCGCAGCAGCCACAGTGCTTAATATAATAGAATGGAGTCCCCACTCCCAGCCGCTCAGCCCTGTAGCTCCAGCCCCAGCTCCCTCTCCTTGCTGAGGCTGCTTCTGGCCCACACGGCCTCTAAGTTCACTACCTGCCTGCCCCCTCCTCCCGCCTGCCTCTCAGCTTCACTCCCCTAGACCCCCCCTCCCCCCCAGGCTCCCAGATCTCCCAGAATGCCCCTGATTGCTACCTGCAGATATTGGACCTTCTCCAGAACTAGGTGACATTCTTGTCTTCCGCCTCCACTGTACCTTTTGAGTAATATCCCATTTGCCTAGACTCTTCTGGAATCAGGATGCTGTGGTTCCCAAGCTCTCCCTCTAGGACTCCTGCTTGCCTTATGTCACCTGCTGACCTTGGCAAACGCCCTGGCTGTCACAGTTCTGTTCCGCTGGTGCGGTGTGTTCCACACATGTCACCTGGAATGTCCACCTTCCCCATTCCATGCCGGCTCCTCATATAAACTGCCTGGGGTTCCAGGCCCCTCCTCAGCATAATTAGTTAGCCGTCTATTAGAAGATACACTGAGGCACATTAAAAATTCTCAGTTCATTTGAGCAAAAAAGATCAGTTCGAGTCTGGCCGCATCCAATCTAGCAGACAGAAGGGAGCTCCAAGGAGCTGAAGCAAACGAAAGGCTTTTGTAGGCAGAAGGGACAAGGACAAGGAACCTAGACAGGCCAAAGGCCGGCTGGTTATTGCAGTTACTTTCCTTTAGGGCCGGCAGGGGTCTCTCAGGCAGATGACCTAACTAGTGCTGACCAGGTGATCCCTGATCCACTGTTTTAAGATTCCATTTCTGGGAGAGCTGAAACTGTAATTAAGTCTTGGTTTGGTGAGGTGGGCCTTCGCATAAGTGACTCCACTTTGGGTGTCTTGTCTTTTAAGAAGCTTCAGTGAAATCCTTGACTCCTGCCGCTCCCTGCCCTGATGTGATCAGGCCCCCAGCAGGGCAGTTCCATCTCCGACTCTCTAGTGCGTGAGCGTCCACTGTATCCAGCTTCATCAGGCACGGATCAATGGCAGTGTTCCACCAGCTGGATCCCCAGCCTTTTGTTCATGCTACAGGGAGAGCCATAGTATTTCTCTAAAATTCCAATATATTCCTGTAAAGCATCTGTGTACAAACCATGCATGGCTTTCCAGCTCATAGCTCAGGTTCAGACTTCTAAATCTGGTACAAGGGGCCCATCCTGTCTGACCACACGCTGCCTCTGTGAGGACACCACTCCCTGGCCACACGCAAACATGTCCCCCTGCTACATTCTTTGCACCTGCCAATCCCACAGCCACAGCCTTAAAATTCACCTCCCTCCTTTCACCAGCTTACAGAAACTTTTGTCCCACCTTGTAGGGCCAGCTCACCGCTCATCTTCACCACGGGGGGCTGCTACCATAAATTCATTCTCCTGTTCTGTGGTCTTCCATGGCTCCTTGTAAATCCTCCTGTTGTAGGGCCCCTGGCTGGCTTGAAACCATGCATTTATGTCTTTGTGTGTACCATAGGGAGGGAGGTCGCAGTAGGGAATTAAGGCATTTATTGTTCATTTCCTTCCCCAAGCCTATATAAGGAAAGGTCTGCCTGTTCTTTGAACAGATTCACTTTGGGATGTGTGTATGAGGAAGGGGATGGAGCAGGGCGTTGGCAGATGTTCAAAGCTCCCAGGAAGAAGAAGATGACACACACTTGGTACCAGAAAGCTTGCTTTTGCGGCTGACTTGGCCACTCTTACTATGAGACCTTACTGTGAGTCCTGACCTTGTCTGTTCACCTGCGAAGGGAAGACTAGTTTCATGCCAACTCATTTTATTGACTGGAAATCACATTGTCGTGTTTTTATGACACAGTTGAATTGTGGTACTGGTACCCAAAGGTGCTATTTTGTTTTATATCAAAATTAATTCATTTTTAGACTCATTGGGCAAGGTTCATTTTGTGTAAAGTTCCAATCCTTTAACAACTTTAGTGTACAGATGAGATTAGGAGTCTGCAGGTCTTAGAAAGTGTCCGAGCCTCTGCAGAAGTCCCGTTGCTAAGGGTGGGATCAGTTATGAGCTCTGGTATTTACTTGGTGAGTAAACCAGTACATTAGTTATCTATCAATGCTGTAAAACCTTACCATAAATTTGGTGCTTGAAAGCAACAAAAAATTATTATCAGACAGTTCTGGAGGCCAGAAGTCCAAAATAGGTCCTCGGAGTTACCGTTTTATTTTTCTGCCCAAGGAAAGAATCAGTTTCCTTGCCTTTTGCAGCCCTTAAAGGCTGCCTGCATCCCTTGGTTCCTGGGTTCTCATCATTCTGACTTTTGCATCCATCATCACCTCTCTGACTTTGATCCTCCTGCCTTCCTCTTGTAAGGACCTGGTGATTATAGTGAGCCCCCGTGGATTATCCAGTAGAATCTCCCCATCGCATTATTCCTAATTCAGCGGCATCGGCAAAGTCCCCCATGCCACATAAGATAATGTAGTCACAGGTTGGGGAATTCAATGTGGATGTCTTTGGGGGTAGAGTTATTCTGCCGACCACATCCAGTGTCAGAGGGTTTGGCTGATATGCTTCTGTGTTGTGTTTTTATGACACAGTTGAATAGTGGCACTGGTACCCCAAGGTGTTCATTTGTTTTAATATTGAAATTAACTCCTTTTCAGATTCATTGGGCAAGATCCATTTTGGTATCATCCATCAACAGACCTTCCCTCGGTATCAACAGACCTTCCCTGATGGATGACTTTGGGGAAGCAAATGGCAGTTTTGCCATCACCTTATTAAAAATGTTGGGTGAAGAATACAACTCACAGAATGTGTTCTTTTCTCCCCTGAGCATCTCCTCTGCCCTGGCCATGGTCTTCATGGGGGCCAAAGGAGACACTGCAGCCCAGATGTCCCAGGTAGGTGTGCTGCCACAATGGAAGAACAATGCATGGTTTTCTCTGTTTCCACAGGGCTGGTCTTTTCATATCTGTCCCCGCTGATGAAAGTCAAGGTGGCTGGTAGGTGGGAAGGGGGACACTTGCAGGTGGACAAAGGGCAGATATAGGTAGAGCAGGGAAATTATATAGGACAGGAAATCTCCTCTTAGTATTTTCAGGAGAAATCAAGTCTTAGGGTTATTTTCTGTAGATAAAGCATCAGTATGATACAGCAAAATTGTATCTTTGAGAATTAAGGTAAATTATAATTTTGTGTCATAAGAAGGCCAAAAATTTAAGCTTTATTATATTTTAACTTTTGCTAACACATTTCAAATGGAAATGTTGATATGTAAATGAACTTTTTGTCAAACAAGTTATTTCTAATGTATGATTGTGCACAAGTGGAGGAAGAATGCACATAGAAGTGGACTTTTATTATCCAGAGTCACTTAGAATATATGATCTGACTGATCTGATGTGGGTTCTGTGTGACCTCAGCTACACTGAAGTAGAGGATAATATCTTAGGGAAGGAGTCCTTAACCTCTTTGTGTCTTAGTTTCTTTAATTGTCTTGTGAAAGGGACCCAGAATACTGTTTATGGTCATCACTTTGCCAGTCACATCAGGGTGTACAGAAGCGTATCCACTGTCTGAATCTCTGTGGTTGTTTCATCTAGTTCACGGGAGGACTGAGGCTTTGGGCTGGGGTTGTTGGTTGATACAGGAACAACCTGAATTCTCACTCTGGTTTGACATTTAAATCACAGTCTGGGCCGGAGAACCTCTGTAAAATTGCTGGTGAGACATTTTCATGTTTATTTCTGCTCATTCTTGACATTTTCCCAGATCAGGCTAGATCCATTCCAGCCACCTACTTGTTGTGTTCTGTCTCCCTCAAGAGTTTGCACATCCTGCCTTTCTGGCCCTAGGGCAGGGATCTGCAACCTTTAAGACATAAAGAGCCACTTAGACCCGTTTCTGAAGGAAAAAAAAAAAACCTGGGAGCCGCAAAACTGTTGCGACATTTAAAACAAATATTGTTTCTTACCTTAATGCTATATACCGGATTGTGCAGTTAGCTGTCAATCTGAAGAAAAAAAGGACTTGTTCACTTAACAATGTAAAATATATTTTTGCAAATTAATAGCTAATTAAAATATTTAATTTACCTGGTTAATGGGATTTTTGCTCCTGAACCTCAGTGCACAGTGTCAGCACATCAGGGCTGTAAGACGTTACCTTCATTTTCACAAAGGCTTGCAAGTTGTTGGAGCCACGGTAAAGCTTCAAAAGAGCCACATGCGGCCCTGGAGCTGTAGGTTGCCCACACCTGCCCCAGGGGATGGGGAGGATGTGATTAGGGGCGGGGTTTGCAGTGGAGGAAGGAGGCAGTTTTGGTGGTTATAACTGAGAGGTACTGCTGCCATCTAGTGGGTGGAGGCCAGAAATGCTGCAGCATATCAGGTATGTACAGGACAGCCCCAACAACAAAGAAACTGGTCCAAAATGTCAGAAGTCCAAGATTGAGAAACCCCGTGCTGACTGGTGAAAGCAAACTCATTTCGAGATAGGATTCGCTGTGATTTTCAGCACGGAGATTTGTTTGGAGGAGCAAAATAGGACAATGTTAAATGTGTGTGTTTTCTCTCACCAGGCACTTTGTTTGAATAAGGCTGGTGATGTCCACCAAGGTTTCCAGGAACTTCTCTCGGATGTTAACAGATCTGACACCCAGTACTTGCTCAGAACTGCCAACAGACTCTTTGGAGAAAAGACGTGCGATTTCCTCCCAGTACGTAGTACTCACACATTTTATTTATTTATTTATTTATTTATTTATTTATTTATTTATTTATTATTTTTAATCCTCACCTGAAGACATGCTTTTGTTGCTTTTAGAGAGAAAGAAAGAAGAGGAAGGGAGAGAGAGAGAGAGAGAGAGAGAGAGAGAGAGAGAGAGAGAGAGAAAGAAACATTGATGTGAGAGTGAAACATCAATAGATAGCATCAGCACAAGCCCTGATTGGTGATTGTACTTGAAACCTGGGTATGTGCCCTGACCAGGAATGGAACCTGTGACCTTTATGTGTACTGGACAAGGCTCCAACCAACTGAGCCACATGGGCCAGGGCAGTAGTACTCACACATTGATTAACAAGATATTGAAAATAAAATGAAACTTAGGAGGAACTGAGTTAAAGTATAACTCTACTGCCTTCAACATTTGCTTAGAATTTATGCCTCTGTAATTATAATTTTGAATTTTTTGAGAGCTTTTTAAATTGCTTCTGGTATATCCCTCCTGAACTTTAATTTCAATATGTCCATCCTCTGACACACAGACTCTTTCCCTCTAGATCTGAGTAGTTGTTATTGATTGCAGTGTATAATTTCAGGGTTCCCTTGTCCAGTGAAAGAAAGCCTGCCACGATTCAGTAAATAAGTTCCAAAAAATGATGCTATGTAATATACAGAGAGATGCTATCTTAAGATGAATGAGCCTGGCCATCTTATTGGCTGGCAGTTCCCAAAATTCTTCTGTAAGACTCACATCCCTTCTGATGGGCGCTAGCTACTTTGTGGAGGTTGCCTGCACTGGACATAAAAAATCATTGGAGATGATTCTGGATCTTTTAGCTGGCTTGGTCTTCTAGGATAAGCGTGATTCCAGGAATCTACTGGTTAAACAATGTTCATTTTGAACATAAGCCTAATCTTTGAATATTGTATTTGGGGAATATTGGGGACACAAGGAACCACCTGCTACCTTTCTCAGTTGCTGGGCTCTTCTCTCCACATCTTCTTTCTTCTGTAGAAGCTAAACTATTTGAGAGCAGGAGATGGGCGGAGGATAGGCACCAGTTGCCAGGCACATTATATCTGAGACCAAGTTTTTATGAGGTGAGTTATTGTTGGGTTTTAATATATTGGGTACAAGGCCTCCCTCATTTATCTTTTTATGTTACCTCACATTTCAAAGGTCATCTGCTGCCGCTTGTTTTCCCCCTCTAATCCTTTATACACACACACACACACACACACACACACACACACACACACACACACACCAGTCACATTCCACTCCTGGGAGACCTATAAGATTTCTTGATAATCTAGCTCTGCCATGGAGCCTCCCAATCACTCCACAGAGATGTCTCAGACCCTGGGCCTGGTGTCAGTGATGCAAAAATGATAAAGAAAGTTAGAGTGCTTAATGGAGGGAGGGAGACAGAAAAATCAACCAGAAAGTCAGTACACAGTTTAAGTGATTGATGGACATTCATGATGGGCTCTTCGGTGCATGCTTGCCACCCTCTATGTTCTCAAGACATCTTGTAACTATCTGTGTGTGTACGTCATCTCTCTCACAGGCTGGGAGCCACTTCCAGTCTCATGCCATGTCTTCATTCTGGTGTCCATCACCCCGTGGGTGGTCTGCGCATTTTTGATAATTGCATGAATGAGTTAATGTGCAGGATGAGCTGTGCAAGCAGTTAGGCTAGAAACATGTTCAGAAAAAACAGATGTGTTCCCACTGTGGAGACCTTTGCTGCATGGGGCCAGACTCGGTGTTTTGTGCTTGCAGGACTTTAAGGAATCCTGCCAGAAGTTCTATCAGGCCGAGTTGGAGGAGCTGTCCTTTGCTAAAGACACCGAGGAATGCAGGAAGCACATCAATGACTGGGTGGCAGAAAAGACTGAAGGTGAGAGATTTCATTTCAGTGGACTTGGGAAGCTGGGAAGGAACAGGAGATGAGAGGGCCTGGACTGTGACCTCCAGTGTCACTATTGGTACCCTGTAACCCTGGCACCCTGTGTGTGTGTGAGTGTGTTTGTTGTGATTTCAGGCCAGCATGCAGTTCTGTGATTTTTTTTTTTGGGGGGGGGGGGCTTGCAGGTCTTTTCTGATTTTAATTAACAATCAGATCTTAGAGTGGTGATTACAAATAAAAACTTAAACCAGGTGTAGGGGTCTCAGATGATGCCTTCCCCCTGCCCCCCAGACTCTACTAGAAAATACCAGAATAATGCATCCTGATGGGGGTCCTGTTTGTTTACTATCTGGGAGGATCCTTGCCCCACTCTGAGGGCTGGATAACACCTGATTTGGGTGGCAGCTGAGATAGGGCCACCTTTCACGTGATCTCTCTGTGGTAATGGAACAGCTCTGGTTTCATCCTTGGCCTGCTCCTTCTTTGCCATGAGGCTGTGGCTCAGTTTGCTTTTAGAGGGTGACATTTTCTGAGTCTGTTCCAGATTCAGGAACCACAGCCTATGCGGAGCCTGCAAAGTCCCCTGTCCAAACCATGTTCAGTTTCAGCAGAAATAGTTCCGCCAGTTCCTGAACTTTAATTTCAATATGTCCATGCCCACCCGGCACTCATCACTCCATCCATCCAATCTTTGTGGTATCCCTGCCATCTCAGGCAACAGCAACGATCACAATTCTACTGAAAGCCCATAAAATAATGACTGTTGCAAGGAAAGAGCCTTTTATGTTTTCTTAGGTGTTATGTGTGGTGGTCTCTCACTCCCCAGTAGTTGGAGCAGCTGTAAGTCACTGGCAAAGCCAGAAGCTTTGTACCTCACCTTCCTTCACCTGTTGCATCACCTTACTTCACCTTTCCTTCCATCAGGCTGGCCACCCACATGTTTTCCCAGAATATTAGAGCTTGGGGGACTTTGGGGATCATCTTGTCCCCACTTTCTTTGAACAACAAGTTGGGCTCCTTCATTGCATTCCCCCTGATTCCTTTGCTCCATTCACCCTCTTCAGGAAGCCTGCCTTCTCTCAAGATCAGGCTGCATTTCCCATTCTTTGGAAGGCTCTCCTCCCCTCAGCTAAGAATTATCTGGCCTAAAATGTCAACAGAGGCATGGTTGAGAAATTATGGTGCCAAGGTTGAGTGGCTTATCGTTCAAATCAAGTCTCTTGGATTATTTTCTCAGCCCAGTCACTTGCCATCTAGTGACCTTAGCAAAAAAAAAAAAAAAAAAATCAGGTAAATGCTCTGAACCTGAATTTCTGCACCTGTCAAGTGAGGGCAAAATGATAGTGGACCGGCCTCTTTCAGGATTGCTGCTGAAGGACAGACAGTACTCTGCATGGGTGCCCTGCCCAAAGCATCATCACCCTTAGTCATCAGGCAGCCGAAAAGACAGGATTCCAGCCTGGCTGTGCACCAAGCCTCAGTGTTCTATGTCAACAGGATTTTTGTAAAGGATATTTATTCTCCCATCAATAATAATAAACTTCTCTTCTGCTCTTTACAGGTAAGATTTCAGAGATTTTGGGTGTTGGCACCGTTGATCCACTGACCAAACTGGTTCTGGTGAATGCAATCTACTTCAAAGGCAGATGGAAGGAGCAGTTCGACAGGAAGCACACAAGGGGGATGCCCTTCAAAGTTAACCAGGTAGGGACAGCGACTTCAGATACACGCTATTTTCTGAAAGTGGCACACTGGGAATGGTTGTGAATGGGGGAAAATATCAATCATTTATTTCACACTATTTTGATTGTTGACCCATTTCTGAATGTATTTCATGCCTCCTCTATATGTTATTGGAAAAGGGAGGAGAAAAATGAAAATGGTTTTTCTATTGACAGTTTCCTTTTTTCAGTCCTTGTTCAAATTGACCTTCTATTCCTGGTCACATTCTTGCGATGGAAAGAAAATTTCTTCTAAGCCTTGGAGTTATGCTTGTATTGTACTATCACTGCCTATATTTACTTAGACTCCTTTTTAGTGTCATGGAAAACTGTGCCTATTTATTGCCTTAGAATCTATGGCTATGCAGTTCTGAGCACAAGGAAAATGTTGTTAACAGAAGTTAAGGCTGAATATTTATTTTTAATTTTGGGGGGATCTTTTAAAAATAAAAATCGTATATTTTAAAGGTGTTCAACATTGATTTAATATGCATAGTGACAAGCTAATTAACATATCTCCCCACATACGTACCTCCTTGAGTGTGTAATGAGAGCCCTGAAATCTACTGTTAACAATTACCCAGTATTCAATACAGTTTTATTAACTATAGTCATCATGTTGTAATTAGGTATCCAGGCATATAAGTCTAACATTAAAAATACATTTCTCAATTCCTTTTTGTGTATGATAATGGCTGGTGCCAATAGCTGAAATTTCACCTCCATCAGCTTGACAATAGCATTATGCACAAAGATTTAAAAATCTAGAGTATATTTGATACAAGCTTTAAAAATGGTAGCTCTTTTTGTTAAGGTTCTCCCTTAAAGAAAATCAAAGCTGTACCATCAACTGTATAATTGAGCAACTTTTCAGAATAAAAGTCTAACTTCCTCTGGCCTATATATCTTCTATAACCTGATCCTCCAGCCCAAAGACCTGAATATTAGTTCATTCTCCTATAAACTTAGAAAAATAATTTTTAATTATAAGGTCTCTGGGAGTGCTTCTTTATGCATTTTCTCAAAAAAGAAAACCTAAACTCCTTCCAAAAATAATGAGAGTGTTTTATGTCTGTCCATATTTTACAATTTATTCTCTTATCTGGTTATAATTGATCTGGCTGGGGCATGAGCATATTATATTCAATACTAATATGTAATAATAAGGATTTTTATCAGCATAAATGCACAGAAGTAATCGTTCTCTTATATGTACCTAGTGGTTTTGTGAATTAGATATATTTTTAGTGACCTGTGCTCCTTTTTCAATAACCTGATTTTAATTTCATGTTTTCATTAGGAAAAAAAGACAGTGCAGATGATGTTTAAGCATGACAAATTTAAAATGGGCTGTGTGGAGGAGGTGCAAAGCCAGGTCCTGGAGCTGCCCTATGCGGGGGAGGAGCTGAGCATGGTCATTCTGCTTCCTGATGAAGGCATGGATCTTGCAGTGGTAAGCCCTGGGCAGTGAGTGTGTGGATCCAGCCTTAGCTCCTTTCTTCAAGGCCACCCATCAGATAGCATTTGAGGAGTTTTAATTAAGGGCTATTACACAGAGTCCTGAATGATCACTATGGCATGTCTTTGGTGGGGATGTATATGCATTTCTGTTGAGTATATATCTAGGAATGGTATTGCGGGTATGGACAAATGTTGAAGCTAAAGGGAATTCTAAGAATTTAAGAGAATTACTCATTTTTCTTTATTCTGAAGAGAGGGGCTCGTTGAGTTCCAATAACTGTTGAATGAAGTACTAGAAAAGGACAGGATTGATCTGGGCAGAGTTCCTCAAACATTTGTGTGTGTACAAATCTCCTGGGTATCTTGTTACAATGAAGATTTTGACTAGGGGCTATGGCCTGAGAATTTTTTGCATTTCTAACAAGATTTCAGGTGATACAGCTGCTATTATTGGTCATGGATCGCGTTTTGAGTAACAAGAGTACAGGAGAGCAGTGTATCTTAGACAAGAGCAGAGAGCCCTCTTCCCATGACAGAAAAGGAACAGAGCTCAGGAGGAAGGTAAATTTGTAAGATGGATGGTACAGGACCAACAGTGTGCTGGCTGTCTGGATCCCTCATTTATAAACCCTCATTTATAATGTTTGCTGATTTCATGCAAATACTCCACTTCGCTAAGTTTAGGTTACCAAGAGTTTAACAATTGACTGTCGCCAGATATACAAGCTGGCTCCTCCAGCACACCAATGCACAAGATGTTGAAGGTAGGATCTGCCTGATTATTAAAATATATTAAATATATTAAAAATATTTGAAATAAATTTGATATAGAGGGTTTAAAAAAAAACACACAAAAAACCTCCCATTGTCTTAACTGTGTTCTAGTTGTTTAATGCTTGGTTCCACAAAACAGGGAAAAGATAAGAATTTGAGGGGAAATCTTGGTATAGAGACAATCTCTGTAGATTGTTTTGGATCAGAACTCAGCATCTGGTTGCATGTTATGGGGGATGGGATAAAAGGGGTTTACACCAAGATATTGTCATCTAGATTTTAGGATCTGACTCTTCATTATTTCAGGTGGAAAAGGCACTTACATATGAGAAGTTCAGAGCTTGGACGGATCCAGAAAACATGAGTGAGATTAAAGTTCAAGTTTTCCTTCCCCGGTTAAAACTGGAGGAGAGCTATGACTTGGAATCTTTTCTTCGAAGTTTAGGAATGACTGATGCTTTTGAGGAAGCCAAGGCAGACTTTTCTGGAATGTCAACTAAGAAGAATGTGCCCGTGTCTAAGGTTGCACACAAGTGCTTTGTAGAGGTCAATGAGGAAGGCACAGAGGCGGCTGCAGCCACTGCTGTCATCAGGAATTCCCGGAGCATCAGAATAGAGCCAAAATTCTGTGCAGATCACCCATTCCTTTTCTTCATCAGGCACCACAAAACCAACAGCATCTTGTTCTGCGGCAGGTTCTCTTCTCCATAAAGAGATGCCATGGCTTACAGGTGCTCCCTTCCCTTCTGCCAACCTTGCCTTGATTCAGATTCTGTAGGACCAAATTGGTGCATGTGGTGGCGTGAATGCCAAAATAAAGTGTTTGCACCCAGGGTGTCTGCGAATGTCTTTACTGAATATTCCTTGGCCGCTGAGAGTAATTGAGGCTTCCGATGGGTGGAGTTTGAGAAGGAGAATGCTTGTTCTGGAATGTTTGGGGAGCTCTTCCCTCTCAACGACTCTGCCCTCACCTATCTGCCATAAGATGGCCGGCAGTCCTCAAAGCCTGTGCCCGGTGTGGGCATCTTTAGGAACATGACAAGGATTGACAAATCAGCCCTCCACATGCTCTTCCATTCTGCAACAATCTTAAAGATCATTGAGGTGCCCACCACCACTGCCAGGCTCAGCTGGAGATGCCAGTGTCCAGGCCCCCTGCACACAAGGCCAGGGATGGATGCTACAATGAACACTAGCCACTCATGTCTCATAACAGCTGAGACAGAGTGTCCCACGGGCAGTATCACACAGACAGCCTTGCATGTTCCATATCTTACACACTCCCTTAGATAAATCACTCCTTCACATCTTTTTTTTTTGCCATAAATCTGATATGAGTTCAGAGGCTCAGCAGGGAGCTACAGGACTGAGTTTGGAGCCAAATCTCTGAAACATGCCCAGTCCTCTCCATTTCCCTTGCTTCTGAAACACACACTACCAGAAAGGAACCCATATCAAGCACTTCTTGGAAGCAGTGACCCTCTAGTTAATCACATATAGTCAGACATGGCTCAAGCACCCCGCCTTGCTGAGAAGCAGATCTCCCTACATAATTTTTTTCAGATTGAAAAAACACACACACTTTTTTTGTGTGTGTATTATGGCAACACTTTGGGAATTATAGAAAAGTATACAAAGAAAATTAGTCACAATTCCACTACCCATCAATCACTACTATTAACAATGATATATAACCATCCTTGTTCTATATATGTAAATAGAAGTTTATAAACATTTCAGCACAAGTTTATCATGCTCTTCTGTAGCTAATTTCTACCCTTACAACCATCTGCTTTTGATTTGCAGTAACATATTTGTAGTATTTTTTGCTCCCATATATATTGTTCTCTCTATGCCTTTAAAGTAGTTCCATCTATTTGTCCTTGAACAAGCTGCCTTTTTTTTTTTTTTTTTTTTTTAATTAGGAAGGCTTTGTAGTATGTCTTAGTTATTTATATCTGAAATAAAGAAAAGCTGTCGATTTTTATAGTTTGAACTTAGAAATCGTTGGCTTCCTTATAAATCTTACTATTATGGGCCTCGTCTATTTTCTTTTTATTTTAATTGTATTTTCTTATAAGATATTTTAAATTGTTTACTTTTTATCACTATTATCTTATTTTGTTTTCTTATTTAAAATGTCTTTTGTATTTGGTTGGTGTGACTTAGTAGTTGAGCATTGATCCATAAACCGAGAGGTCACAGGTTCAATTCCCAGTCAGGGCACATGTCCAAGTTGTGGGCTCAATCCCTAGTAGGGGGTCCCACAGGAGGCAACCAGATGATGTTTCTCTCTCATCAATGTTTCTATCTCTCCCTTTCCCTTCCTCTTTCTCAAACTAAATAAAAATATTAAAAAATAAAATGTCTGTTGCAACAGTTCTGCTTCAAATGTTTAGGTTGGTCAATTTCTTTCATTCTTTTTTGTTGTTGTTGTTGACACTATTACAGATATCCACATTTCCCCTTCCCAGTTCCTACCTTCATTTTGCTCATCTCAGTCAATTTATTTTATAATGTTTTTCTTCTTCAAGTATCCAGTTTTTGGCCTGTGGGTTCAAGTGCCTTGGGTTATCAGATATGATCTGCTGATATGAGTTGAGTAAGGCTTCAAAGTCAAACCTTTTTATTTTTTATTTTTTTAGTGACAGTCCTACCCAGTTTGATGACACATTTTCTGTCAGTCCATCAGGAAAATCTCATGGTCAGGGTTGAAGCAGCAATACTCAAAGGGAACTAAATTCACATCTGTTAACTTTAATATCTCCCCCCCTACTAGGCTTTTAAAATGTACCAATATAACTTCAAGGATGCTAATACAGATGATATAGTCTATTGACTTAGAGTTTTGTCTGAAGGAACAAGGCCAGCAAGGCAGAAACTTAAAACATCTGGCCCAGCCTATCTTCTCTGTAGGCAGCAGGTGTCTCCCTTTCCAAATGGCAGCTGTGCAGGCTTGAGCACCAGAGTCCAAGCACCATTCTGCTTCCCATGGATGGCTTGGCTATCTTGTTGCTTGATGAGTCTTGTTTTTACTGTTTGTTTGATTGATTTGTTCTCTTGTTTCTCTCCTGCCTTTAATTTCTCTAGAGCTGAGTTTTGGAAAGAGAGTCAAACTCCTGCTTTGTGGCATCTTTGCAGGAAATGGAATCATCTTTTTAATGATGTTTGTGCTGATATGTCAAAGTAAAAAAAAAAAGAAGCATATTTTACCACATACTCATAAACCATTAATAAATTTGAATTGCTCTTTAAAAATATAAATTATATTTTATAGTCTCTAAATTAAAAAAAAGCTTGCAAATACAAAATCTTGGCAAAGATCAGGAGCAATTCCTCAAGGATGGAGGAAGCAGAAATTGGTAAGACCACTTAGAAAAGGAATCCTGCATGACTTAGTAATGTTAAGCATTTGTATATACTATGTCCAGATATTCCACTCCTGGCTAGAAACCCAAGAAAAACTCTGTGTTCAAGAAGCATGTAAAATAATGCTCATAGCAACATTGTTCATCATAGCAAGGAAAAAATATAGAAATATAGGAAAAACACTGAATTATTAAAATGAATTAATCATGTTGCACTCATGCAATAGAAAGAATCAGGGTCATTGCCTTCCTCAGCTCTGGGGCACCATTCACATAGTCTGCACATTTCATACAGAACATAATATTACTGGCCTCTTCTGGAGTTTGTACAAATTTGTGCAGAGTACCATATATTAGGCAAAATAAATTTACTATAGCTACCACCATAAAACACAATGCCAGCCAAAAATAACAAGTATCTGTTGCATTTGCATAATGTTAAGCAATAGGCAAACTGATTATATATATATATTAAACTAACAGAGGAAAGAACAAAGAAATTCATGCAAAACATAGAATAATATTAAATCCAGGAAAGAATGTGATTAGCTAGGTCAGCAGGGAACCTTAAAATTATTCATGATTCTGTTTTTTTAAACTGGGTAGTGGATATTAGATATTTATTCAATCTATTATTACATTTTAAGTTTATATATGTAAATTCATTGCATTATATGTATGGTGCATTTAACAATGAAAAGAAATTTAATAAAAATGGATAAATCATGGTATGATATGATGTGGTGAGAACTACTATCTTTCCAGTTAAGATAGGAAAAATCAAATATTGTGAATTTAATAATCAAACTAAGTGTAACTTTCCTGTTAAAAGACAGAAAAACCTTTTAGATTGAAGGTGAAAAACAGTATTTTGCCAAATGTGATTTCAATTAGCATTTCTCAAACAAAGTGACACAAAATATGTACATGAACTGGTAGGTAAAAATGTATTAGGCAAATTTAAAAGGACAGCAGTAGTCAAGTTATTAATAATATCAGAACAAGTAGACTTTAAGGAAATTAATAAAAATAGAGAAGTGCTATTATTTGATATACAAAAGGGCATGATTCATAGGAAAGGTAAATTTTTCAATACTGGACAGAAGAATATAGAAAAAAATAAATAATAAAAGTTGGATGAAAAGTTCAATATTACACTGTACTTTACACTAACACCCATTTTTGTACACATTTATACCTTTGAAATTAAGATATGTCTTGATGTAACTTTTATAGCTCATACATGCTTGCATTTAGTCATAGGTGCCTATAATTTTTCCCCACTTAAAGTTATCATTGGTGATATATGTATTGAGTATAGTTGTCATTATTTTTAAGATTATATTATTATTTGACATTGAGAAAATTATTGTGAATGTCAAAAATTATTGAAGTGAAATTGATGTGGAATTTGATATTAGAGATGCAAACACTTTATATTTGGAGGAATCAGTGCTTTTTTCTTGCAAAATAGTGGCCATGATTTATAGGTGCTAAGAACAGACAAGCAGCAAAAGTTGTACTAAATAAAGGATGACCGATCACATACCAACAGCAGAATCTGCAGAAAGGGTATTAGCTGCTTGGAAGAAAAATCCCAGAGACAATAGTGCTGTGTTTGCTCCTGTTTGATGGTGTTTGGTGATATCCACATAGCAAAGCTTTTGATGGCACAATCAATACACAGTGTTGTGATGGAAAACATGAACATCCATAGTTTATGCCCCATGATGATGAAAAAGACTCAGACTCTAAATATGTTCTAAAGTTATTTTGAATTATATATTGCAAATATTTAATTTTATTTATGAACAAGAACAAGGTATATTAAAATATATATCTAAATACATAAAAGAACACTACATACATATAGAATAAAAATTTGAGTAAGAGTATCATATCATAATTCAATTGACAGAGCTTTCATTTCCTTAGTGGTACATGAAATAATAATGCATTTCAGAGCTGAGGTCATTTTAGAATTGATGAAATGGGGTATAGTTTATTGGGTTATTTCTTCTCTTACTACGCTATAGTCTAGAATGCATGTGCATTGAGTGTTGGACCCTACAACTCAACTTTTTTCTATTTTCCCTTCTTGAATTTTAAAATATTTCTTGAGCCTTTTCTCCTAATTCCTCTATTGATTTGGGAGGTAATAATGTGGCTTTTTTTTTGCCTTTTGATTTTTTCTTTTTTCATATCAGTGTGTGTGTTTGTCTATGTGTGTGTAAGCATGTACAATAACTTCTAGAATTAGATAAATATATTAAAGTTTTTCATGTTCTTACCTAAATTGTTTCTTCCAGATCTAGTCTGCTTAGTATCAATATTTGTCTTTCT